TTGGGATTATTTCTGAGATATTGTCATTAGTTTTTTCTGATGGTTCAAATGCATTTTGAGATTGTCTTGAAAGTCAATGTAATCTCAAAATTTCAATTTTGCTTTGATTTTTGAAAGAAAAAATGCGACAATCAATTTTGCTTTAAAATCATTGTTCTTTTTCAAGTGAGAATAAAATAATTTTTTCAAAATTTCCTTGAAAACATGGTTGTTTCGACTCATTAACATGCCTTGTTTTAAGGCAATTGAAATTTTTCAAAACTGCCCTGTTTTTCAGGCAATTTTGAAAAATGTGCCAGAAACCCCCTTTTCCTACTACTACAAACTTTGTCAATCCTCTTTCAGAATCATAAGTAATACGATTATTTTAAAAACAAGGAGAGTTAGAATTATTTCAAATTAAAACTAAATGTTTGATGTATGTATAGTGTTGGACAAATCTTGGCCAAATACAGATCTGGGAAGTTGCCAAAGGCTTTTAAAGTTATTCCATCTCTTGCGAATTGGGAAGAGGTAAGTAAAAAACAAAGATATATATATATACAAATGTGAAAGAAGGAAATTATATATATATATTTTATTAGATGTCTTGTGGTGTTATATTGCTGAGTATTTTTACAAGTTGTGCTGCATTTTGAGAAGTCTGCAGGGCACGTCAAAATATAATTAAGAGTAAAAATACTCAGTGATACAATAAATTATTATCCAATACACCAAATTGTTATTTCAGTGCAGGCAATTTGTCTGTAAATTGCCTGCCATTATTTTTGGAACTCCAATCCCATAGTCACTTGTGCAATGCAAGAAAAACCTGTCTAACCAGTTCTCTGGGATACAAATAAAGCATGATATTTGTACTTATCTTGGGCATTATTTGTACTCTATGGAGTGTAGTTGGATACTAACATACATTATTTCATTTTTCAATGCCTCGACAGGGGTTTCATTAAAGTTTGAAACATCGTCACAGTCCTGGTTCTGGTCCTTTTCAATATTAGTCGCCTTCGCGACTAATATTGAATATTTAACTATTAGGTGCCTTCGCCCCCTAATAAAACCCCCTACATTGAAAGAATTTGAGGATACTAATGTACCTGTATTGTTACCTGTTGAGGTGCTCTATATAACAGAGCCAGAGAAGTGGACTGCAGCAGCCATGTTTCAAGCAACAAGAACATTTGTGTCAAATCTCAATGTTAAGATGGCTCAGAGGTTTGTTGTCTTGTCATGAAGATACTGACAAGGATTTCATACAGAGCTTTTTTTTCTATGTTGTTTTGTTTTATGGTGCACATACAAGAGAGATTTGGGTTTGAGATCTGGCCAAGTCATTGTGTCTCTCTCCACCCTGGAGCTTTAATGGGCACATTCAAACCTTGATTATCCAAACCTCAATTAGCTGGAATTTTCAATTATCCAGACTTTTTCTCTGGTCCTGTTTTTTATTTCATGAATATTAATGAGCTTTGATCT